CAAGGGCCGCGCGGCCGACGAGCTGGAGGCCGGCGCCGCCGTCGAGGGCGGCGAAGGGTCCAGGGATGGCGGCAATTCGGCAGGCTCAGGCTCGGGGCCCGGCGCAGTGCTGTCGCTGGGTGCCTGCTGCCTGGCCATACTGCAGGTGTTCCGTTCCAAGAAGTTCCCGTCGGACAAGCTGGAGAGGCTGTATCAGCGCTACTTCTTCCGCCTGAACCAGAGCAGCCTCACCATGCTCATGGCCGTGCTGGTGCTCGTGTGCCTGGTCATGCTGGCCTTCCACGCGGCGCGGCCTCCACTCCAGTTGCCCTACCTGGCCGTGCTGGCAGCCGCCGTGGGTGTGATCCTCATCATGGCCGTGCTCTGCAACCGCGCGGCCTTCCACCAGGACCACATGGGCTTGGCCTGCTATGCGCTCATCGCCGTGGTGCTGGCCGTCCAGGTGGTGGGCCTGTTGCTGCCCCAACCGCGCAGCGCCTCGGAGGGCATCTGGTGGACGGTGTTCTTCATCTACACCATCTACACGCTGCTGCCTGTGCGCATGCGGGCTGCGGTGCTCAGCGGGGTGCTGCTGTCTGCTCTCCACCTGGCCATCGCCCTACACACCAATGCCCAGGACCAGTTTCTGCTCAAGCAGGTAGGGGCCCAGATGGCCACTGGGACTGGATTGTGGGGGTGGACAGGGGGAGGCACCTGACTCCACAGAAGGAGAGCCCACTTGACACCTAGCATCTTGTTTATAAAACAATGGTCTTGTGTTATTTGTAATGTTCCTGGCTGGGTAGATGATAAATTCAAAACCCGTCATCATTGCCCTGAATCAGTAAGGAAGGAGAAAGTGAGAGAAAATTACATGAGGGAAGTCCCCATCTCTCCCTGAGTTTCTGTCCCTGTATACAGAGGCTAGTCATAAAAGTGGCTGAATTCTCTAGTGGCCCCCCTATACTGAGCGTCGCTGTAGGTTTTCTGTTAGCCTACACCTGGATAGAGGGTTTGGGGTAGCATCCCCGGGACATCTTGTGACCAGTCTGAAGGAGGAGATGATAGCCCTACTACTTATCTGAGGCCAGGGATTTGGCAGTTAGAGAGATTCTTGAACTTGACAGAGGATCAACAAGTTTGGTTGGCTCAAGTGCCTGAAGTTTCTGTGAACTAAGGTGGGAAAGAGCACTGAGAAGTGTGTGTCACAGTCCCCTTTCTGGTTTGAACAGAACAGCTGGTGGGGAGAACATTAGCCCTTTCAATAGGTGCTCCCGGTTGTTGACTGAGGGTAGAGGTTTTTTAATCCCTGCTAGGACTTGAGTGAGCCTTGACCTGTAAAATGTAAAACTTCTGCCTAGGTAACAGGCAATTCCAGTCTTCTGGAAGAGATTCCTGCTAGCCATTATGGCGGTAGGGTGAAAAAGCCCCTCTGACATCCACACTTTCCCTTAATATTCTGTTTCTGTACCACTGAACGTGGTTGTTTGCATGCTCTTCCCTTGGAGAGTCAAGTGGGACACTGGTAAGTGACTTCAGACCCCTCTGCATACTCCTACCTATCTCCTGTCATCTGCTTCTTTTCTTCCTTACAGGGGCCCATTGCTATTATTTTCTTCCTCCTCCCTATTTCTACCTTCTTCCTCAGACTTTGATCTTTTGAATACTGAACTCTTTTGGGGTATTCTCTGGTTTCTTAGACACATAACTTTCCTATAGGAATATCACTGGTATGAGCTACAGAGCACTGGGCTCTTGCTGAACTGTAGGGTGCTCTCTGGCAGGGAAGACGGGAGAGATTATGCCACCTCTCTGGGCTATGGCCCATGAGTTCTGTTTCTGGAGGAGAGAGTTGATGTTCCCTAACATCCTCAGTTCCCAGACTCACCTACTGCAAGGAACCATCTGGTCTTCCACATTGGCTTCTCCTATGTGAGCAACAGTGGAATCAGATCCATAGACTGAAGCACTTTTTTTTTTCCTCCAGTGTCCTTTGGTTTTCCAGATTTAGTGTAGTCTCCTTTGCAGAGGTTCCCAAGTATGTTTCTTCTTCTCCATGCTCTCCTGTAAGTTTTCTTGCATAATGAAGAATACTTAGTAGCAATTTAATGAGTGCTTGCCAGTTGGATTGGGATCCAATTAGTAGAGCAGGTGGAGTTCTTAGGTGGTGTTAGAAGTTTTCCTGAGAGGCTGGGAAAGTGGCTCAGTGGTAAGGTGCTTCCCTAGCATGCATGAAGGCCTAGGTTGGATTCCTCAGTACCACAATAACAGAAAAAGCTGCTGTGGCTCAAATAGTAGAGTGCTAGCCTTGAGCAAAAGAAGTTCAGGGACAGTGTCCAGGCCCTGAGTTCAAGCCTCAGGACTGGCAAGACGAAAAAGTTTTCCTGATCTAGGATCCGAAGGAAATAAAATTCCTTAGAGATCAGCTTTGACCAAGAGAGAAATCTTTTGGGAGGTGGTGTTTAAAAAGTTACTCCTACGGAGTGCTTAAAAAGGTTGCAATTCTCAACCTAAAGACCCATGCTTTCTGATGGGTGTTAATATATCTGAGTTGTGTTCCTGCCTTTGGTAAGTATAGTTTTCTATAGGCAGAATAACATGCCATTTACATGGAGCAGTGGGGATTTACAGGAGAGTTCAAGATGCTTTCTGAGCCAGACTTATAGGACATGAAGCCTGATTACAGCCCTAGGTTATCCTGGATGTATGATCTGAAAAAATTGGGACCAGATCTCAGAAACAGGGTGCTGAAGCTGGAGCAGCCCCACCTCAGTGTGAAAATGCCAATGCAATGTATGTCTGACAGACTTCCCTCCTGGCTCCAGGCAAACCCCTTTCCTTTTCTCTTTCTACCCCCATCAGGTTCCACCCCAGGTTTCTTTGCCCACTGTGGTCTTTAGACTGTAACTTAGCTGCAGAATTTTGGGTGGATTTTTACTTAACTTTTCTTGATCTGAGTATAGCAGAGTTTGTTATGAGTGGTCTAAGACAAGGGAATGCAAACATTCTTTCTATTTGGCTTCAGAGAAAACTGTATCTTTTTTGTTTGTACTTGATTTACCTTTCTGATTATGCATGCCATAAAATTTGTTTTTCTTGAGCAAACTATGCTGGATTGCAGGCAAATATTAGTGGAACAGTCCGGCATTAAACTCTGCCTCAGGTTACCTCAGTGTATAAGTGTTTGGGGGTGACTTGGGTTAGAGGCTTACTTATTCTTCTTTGATGAAGACACCTGTCCAGGGAAAGAGGTAACGTTGAACCATTTCTAGTGTTGGGGTTTAAAAACTCCCTCTCCATAGTACCTCAAACATATAATAGGCCCTTGATAAACTATCTGTGCATTTCTTCACTTCTCCTGCAAGGCTGTCCCTCTCAACTCTGTATCCCAGGGCCTCAACATCATCTGACTGGAGCATTTTATTCTTCCCCAGCCCTTTGGTGCTTGGGCTCTGTCCTTGGCTTCAGCAGAAGTAGCATTTTAACTTTCTTTTATTTTATTTTTCTTTTTGGAACCAGTATGGGAGCTGTCATTCTCCCACCTGAGCCATTCCTCTGGTCTGGTTTTTTGATGGTTATTGGAGATGAATTCTCATAAGTTTTTCTATGCAGGCTGGCTTTAAAATGTGATCGTCCAAGGCTCAGGCTTCTTAAGTAGCTAGAGCTACTGACTGACAGCTGGCTAGCATTTGATTTCTTAGGAGGTTGATTTTTACTCAAGAGACAAAAGGCAAAGTGTGGTGGCCCTTGTGGGCCCTTCTCTGTAGCTCTTCCCTTCCCCTAGGAATCTGTCCTATCTCACTTCTGTCAATTCTCTCTCTCTGCCTGCACCTTTCCTTTCTTATTTCCTTTTTCTGCCATTCCCATCTGGATCTCTGTTCTGTCAGTCCATCTCTCCTTTCCTTGTTCTTCCTGTTTGTTCTGCTTTTCCTTCTCTTGCTCCCCATACCTGGCCTCTCAGCCTTCTCTGTACCCTTGTCCCGCTGTTGTCTCCTCATCTCTTACAAGGATACAGTAGGAGCGTCACAGGGGTGTTTTTTTCCCTTTTCCTTTGCCTGTTAGAAGTCCCTCTGCTACACCCATACCATAAATAACACTCGAGCATCTGCCAAACACATTCCTCACTTGTGTTAATAGGCTGCAATGATGCTGGAGCCTGTTTCCACGGCAACCTCATTTTTGTTTGACTGTATCCCACTCTGCTTCATAAAGCCTCTGTGAGCACTCACACACAAACAAGCAGGCTCCCACAACTAGTACCCATGCTTAGCAGTTAAAGATTATTTTGGAGACCATGTCTTTAAATCATGTGGTGGTGAAGTGGTCATTTGATCTCAAGGAGATTGTCACCTCCTCCATCCAGTAATACCCTAGGACATGATAATGCATAGAAGAGCTCTTTGAAAAATAGACAGTTCTGTTCAAATGTGGGGTAATATTTTTACTCAACCACATTAAACATGCCTCTCTGGCTTCCGGAGGGGAGGATTCCGATTCCATCTAGGTCTCTGGGAGCTTGCTGTGAGGGATGGCCCCTCCCTAGTCTATCTTCTTTCAGCTCTTTACCTCCTTCTTCCGTCCCATCCCTTTGGGAGAAGCACAGTAATTTCCTGCATTTCTTCTTATGTGCCTGTTTGAACCCACAACTGTCACAGTTGTTCCAGCAATCAGAATGGCACTGGCACTGTGTGGGTGCTGTTCTGTGACTGAGCACGTGTGAGTGTCTGTTGAGTAGAGGCAAAGGATGGATGGGGGTAGGGATGTGGTCTGGGAATCAAGCTCTGTCGCTGCCCAGGGATAGGAGCATGTGTGTGAGCATGCACTCATTTTAGTCCGTCTGTCTGGGAGCAGTTTGGCCCTAGTGAAGGGAATGGCTGGCAAGCTGTTGTGTTAACTTTGAAAGATTCACAAGCAAACTTGTCCCATTTGTTCTTGGCTGGTAGCTGGTTTCCTGTGGCTGCCTTTCTGATTTGATTGCCCCTTTTACCTTGACCTCTAGCTCCTCCAGGATGTACCCCGGGTTGCACTCCCTCCCCTTTCCATGGTAACACTGCGGCTGGGTTTGAGTAGTCAGCTCCTCTGACCCTGAGGAATTCGCTCTTCTTTACTGATGCCCACCTGCTCAGCAGCCCAGTGAGCCCCACTGAAGAGCTGCATCCTTGCTCTGGAACCTGGCCCATAGGCCTTCTTGTAGGTCGCTGTGGTTGCCCCAGGTGCACTGCTGGCTTGTGGAGGAAGAGAGCTTCACAACAAAGGCCATGCATTGTCTGCCACCAATTACTTTTCTATCACCTGCATTCTGCCGAGGAGAAATCAGGCTACAAGTAAACTGCAGTGGCAGCAGCAGGCTAGATTGGAGATTGGCTTTGAATTTGGAACAGAGGAGGGTCTGCTGGCCTTGCCTCTAGGCTAATTGTATTAGCCAGTTGAATTTGCTAATTGTCTTTGATTATATTGCTCCCTCTCCAGGCAGCTGGAGATGAGGCTTGGAAGGGAACAGAGTGGCCCCTGGTAAAGGTTTGAGTGGGGCTTCTGGATAGGGGGTCATCTGTTAGATATCAGGAGAGTCCTGATTCATGTAGAGAGGACCTCAGGAATGATGGAGACCCAGCCAAGGAACAGCATGCACAGCCATGTTATTTATAAGAATGTACATTGTTGATAACTTAGTTCAAGTTTGATCTGTAAATGAGAGCATGAGGTCTGTATACTATAGAACACAGAACAGCATGTTCATGTTTGTTCATGGAGAGAACACATGATGTATTAAACCTCAGCATAGCAACCTTCCCAGCTTCACATAAGCATTTTAAAAATCAGAGCGAAAGGTTTGGATACAAGCTTTCCTCTTCAGACAGACAGGCCTCAGCCATGAGTCCCTGTGTCAGAGATTGCAGATTGGCTGCAGAATATGGCTGTGATCTGGGCTTGGGCCAGATCATCTTTTCTAGTGAGATGTATGAATTGATGGAACTACCACCGTGGTCCTAGCCAAAGGTGGAAGTGGGAATGGAGCAGGGGTCCTCAGGAGGGAGCCTTCCTTGGTTGTCTCTGCCAGTGACTTGCTGTCCGTGCTACCTCAGCTAAATTAATTTGTCTTACGATGGGTCCAGCATGTCATTGTTTAACTTCTCAGGAGCAGAGCCTGCGTTGGGAATGGAAAGTTTGCTCTGGGAACCACAACATGCCTGCCCCTATAAATCCTTCAGGTACAGTTATATAAGTGATATTCTAGCATATTCTTTTCTGTCATCCATGCAGATGGGACTAGCTGGCTTGTGGAAAGCTCTCTCTCTCTTTCTCTGTGTAATATATACATTTCCCCATCAAGACAATATAGTAATGTAGGTAATTAAGAAAATTAATTCTTTTCTTGCTGAAGAAAATCCTTAGCAAGAAAATCTTGTTACAACCTTGTGAACAAGATCTAGGGGTTTCTAGTTAACTGAAAATGAGCAAGGTAAACCTGTGTTTTGGGTTTTTTTTTACTGTTAGAAAAAGTGGACAGGAATCTTGGTCCTATTTAAAGGCAGATCCAGTTCACAGATTGAAAACTCATCTGAAATATGACATTTGATTCTAAAATTCACTAGTTCAGTTAGAGGGCTAGAAACTTTGAGTTCTGAGAGAACGTTTGTTAGAACAAGATACTAAGCGGGGAGAAGAGTGGACTATAACAGACAGTAAGCTAGGCAAGGTCTTACTTCTGGGATCTCTTTTGTAGGACATCCTGTAAGAAGGGTTGACTTAGTTTTGGTTACTTCCAAGGGCAAATGGATAGAGAAGGTGGACAGATTTCAGCTCTAGGTAGGAAATCCTTTTCTAGCCATTGAGGATAGATGCTCTCTGTCCGTGAATGTGTTTAAGTAGAGACCAGACCGCTGTCTGCCAAGCTTATTGAGGAGGAAATTGCCTGTGTGGGCCAGTGAATCCTTGAATCCTAACCTTGGCTTATCATAATCCCTAAGGAACTTCTTTAAAAAAATGCAGATTTCTAGGTCCCACTGGAAAGTGCAGCTTTCAAAAGTCCAGGCTGGGGTTCAGGAATGGATTTTTTTTTCAGTTTTTTATACTGGGGTCCTTGAGCATGCTAAGCATCTGTATAGCCACTGAGCCACACACCCCAGCCTGAATCTACTTTTTTAAACAGCTTAAATCTTGGATTTGAAGCTCTTCCACTGGTTTTGATGAGCAACTAACTCTTAGGATTGGGGACAAGATGAGTACTTAGGTCACACTCTACCCTGGGAGATGGTGGTTCAATGTCTGGTAACAGATGGCTGCCTCTTAAAGGCCTCTGAGGTATCTTCTCACCATACTCTTCTCAGAGTTTTAGTCCGCTTTCATCACCAATGCAAAATCCTGAGGTAGCTATCTTTATAAAGAAAAGAAGTTAATGTACAATTTTGGTTCAAGAACACAGCACTTAGAGTGGTTCTGTTTTGGTAAAGGTAGCAATGGCAGAAGCCTAGTGTATACCCAAGTAGCCAGGGCAGAGAAAGCTGGGGATGTAGCCAAACTCAGGCTTTTATAACAACCTTCTTGAGGAAACTACCAAGAAGTTGCAGAAGAACTCTTAAAAAAAATTTTTTTTGGTTGGTCCTGGGGCTTGAGCTCTGGGCCTGGGTACTGTCCCTCAGCTCTTCAGCTCAAGGCTGGCACTCTACCACTTGAGCCACAGTGCCACTTCTGGTTTTCTGGAGATAAGAGTCTTATGGAGGGGCTAGGAAGGTGGCTTAGTGGTAGAGTGTTTGCCTTGCATGCATGAAGTCCTGGGTTCGGTTCCTCAGCACCACATAAGCAGAAAAAGCTGCAAGTGGCACTGTGGCTCAAGTGGTAGAGCACTAGCCTTCAGCTGAAGAGCTGAGGGACAGCGCCCAGGCCGAGTTCAGGCCCCACAACTGGCCAGAAAAAAAAAAAGTCTCATGGACTTTCCTGCCCAGGCTGGCTTTGAACTGCAATCCTCAATCCTCAGATCTCATCCTTCTGAGTAGTTAGGATTACAGGTGTGAGCCACCGGTGCCTGGCGCAGAAAATTTCTTAAGAGATCACAGAAGATATATCTCACACCCACAATAACCTCAGGACCTACCATTAGGTCTCGCCTGCCGGTAGTACAACTTTGGAGATCAAGCCTTTAATCATGATAGACCAATGAGGGATATAAATCACCTTCATCACCCTCAGCCCCTGTTTAAAGAAGCAAGATTTCTGCATCCCTGTAGAGCAAGACTCACTGAGTGGTGGTGTCCAGGTTGTGGAAGGGTCTGGATGGTGGCAACAGTGAAACAGGATGGGCAAGGTACTCAGCCCTGGACGCCCATTCTGTATTCATACATACCTCCTGCACCCTTCCTGTTGCCGCTTCCCTTCAGTGGCAACACAATCTGCTTTGAGATCCCAATCTGTTTGGATGAAGGGGAGTAGTAGGAAAAACCTAGGTTTGCCTCTTGGTCCACTCATTTCTCTGGTGAATGGCTTTGAAAAGCATTGAGGCTATTCTAGGAATAGCAGGTATAGACAGTGGAAGAGGAGGTCAGAAGTGCAGCATCAGGGCAGGAGATTGGGAGGAACTAGGGAACTAGGAGATGGTTTGAAGGAGGGAAAACAGGACTTTGAGAAAGCCACCAGAGTTTGGAGCTGTGAGTATGATGAGGGGAAAGAGTTGGACGTGGGGGCAGGGATGCCTCTGGGAACAATGGGATGATATAGTCACAAGAGAAGGGGAGGCAAACAAAGCATAAGGACACAGTTGAGGCTTTGTTCTTTAGGCCATGTGTCAGGATGAAATTATAATAACTCTCCTTCCCCTCCCAACTACCTCTTGCTGGGGGTGGGGTGGGGGTTTATGAGCTGCTGCTTTTTGTTCTGAGCTCCTGACTGACATTGCTTTTTCAAGGTCACTTCAGCCCCCCCACGCGCTGGGGCCCCGGGCTTTACCACAGAGTTTACTGATATTTCTCTGTGCTTTTGGAAGGGGTACAGAGGGCTCCGGGGCCTCATGTTCCAATGCACTCAGCACATAGTAGGTACTTAGTGAAGATTTGAATGAACAAACGAATGAATGGTGGAGTGGGTGGATGCGTGCACGCAGGCTCTAGGCTGTGCTGAAGTGCTAGACCAACACCTCCACAAAAGGAAGCCACGCAGCTCGGCTTGGAAGCTTATTTTGGTGGGTTGTAATCCCAAACTCTGAGCAGGGCTTCCAAAATCCTCCTGCTGCAGTTTAAAATGCGTGCCTTAGAAACAGACAGAGCTATCGCTGGCACTGCTGGTACTATATCACTTTACAGATTTGGAAACTATTGTAAAGTCATTCTTTCCACTTTCTCTCCATTCATTCTTATGACCATCCACTATTTAGTGCCTACTGTATACCAGGCACTATGTTAGGCCCAAGAGCTGCAGAGATAGTTAAGACTGGGTCTGGTCCTAGCTCCTCTGAGATTCTCCCAGTAAGTGTGTTCCTGGGAGGGCCCTTAATCAATGTTTCACAGATACACATATGGTCTGTGTCAGATAAATTTAAGAAATGCAGCTGGCCTTCTGTATCTGCAGGTTTTGCATCTGTGGATTCAACTGCAGATTGAAATCATTTGAAAAAGACTGTGTTTGTACTGGTTGTGTGCAGATTTCTTTTTTTGTCACTATTTGCTAATGTCACAACTACTTACCCACAACTTAACATTGTATTATGAAATGTAAGTAATCTATGGGTTATTTAGTACATGGTAGATATGCCTAGGTTATATGCAAGTACTACATTCTTTTATGTAGGGACTATAGAATTTGCAAATTTTGGTATCTGAGGGGGGGTGGGGCTTGGAACTGATCACCCA